GGGCAGTGCAATGGGGGCTCAGGCCTGTTGGGAGGGCCTGGGAAGGGCACAGGGTTTCTTTTTTTTTTTTTTTTTTAACATTTTTTGTTTTTGTTTCTATTTTTTGTTTATTTATTTTTGGCTGCGTTGGGTCTTTGTTGCTGCACGCGGGTTTTCTCTAGTTGCGGCGAGCGGGGGCTACTCTTTGTTGTGGTGCACGGGCTTCTCATTGCGGTGGCTTCTCTTGTTGTGGAGCACGGGCTCTAGGTGAGCGGGCTTCAGTAGTTGTGGTGTGCAGGCTCAGTAATAGTGGTGCACGGGCTCAGTAGTTGTGGCTCGCGGGCTCTAGAGTGCAGGTTCGGTAGCTGTGGCGCACAGGCTTTGTTGCTCCATGGCGTGTGGGATCTTCCCAGACAAGGGATCGAACCTGTGTCCCCTGTGTTAGCAGGCGGATTCTTAACCACTGCGCCACCAGGGAAGTCCCAGGCACAGGGTTTCTGAGCCCCTACTCTTTACAGGATGAGAAGCTCGTCCGCTACTTCTTAGACAAGACGTTGACCTCAAGGCTTGGGATCCGCATGTTGGCTACACATCATCTGGCGCTACATGAGGACAAGGTGGGGCACGGGGACCTGAGACCTACCTGGGAATGTCAAGTGGGGCAGAGAGGACTGAGCCAGGAGCCCCCATGGGCTGGGGACCCGGGCCGAGGGCCTGGGGAGAGCCTTGGGGTTGCTTCCGTAGTCTAGAGTTTGCAAGCTTTTGGTGGCCATGGTGTGGGTGGAGGTGATCCCTGGTCCTGACCTTCTTTCTTCTGCCAGCCCGACTTTGTTGGCATCATCTGCACTCGCCTCTCACCAAAGAAGATTATTGAAAAGTGGGTGGACTTTGCCAGGTGAGGCTAGAACGGCTAAGGGGGTGACGTCTTCGGGCAGGGAAGGTTTGGGTCTGATCCGTTGCCCAGGGCATGGTCCAGGGCAGGGTTTTTCAACTGTGACACTGTTAACGTTTTGGGCCAGATCATTCTTTTTTGTGAGGGGCTGGCCTGTGCTTGTTAGGATGTTCAGAAGAGTCCCCGGCTTCTACTCACTTGATGCCAGTAATACTCTCCAGCTCTGACAGCCAAAAATGTCGCTAGAGATTGCAAAATTTCCCTGGGAGGGTGGGGACAGAATCACCTCCAGTTGATAACCACTGGTTGAGGTCTGAACCCTTGCTCCTTTCCGCAGACGCCTGTGTGAACACAAGTATGGCAATGCCCCCCGAGTCCGCATCAATGGACATGTGGCTGCCCGTTTCCCCTTCATCCCGATGCCGCTGGACTACATCCTGCCCGAGCTGCTCAAGAATGCCATGAGGTGGGCTGCTGGATATATTGGAAGGGGGCAGACAGGAACTGGGGTGAGGCTGGGGCACCACCACCTACTGGTCTTTGCCCCCTGCACAGAGCCACAATGGAGAGTCACCTAGACACTCCCTACAATGTCCCAGATGTGGTCATCACCATCGCCAACAATGATATCGATCTCGTCATCAGGTTTGCCCTGGGTGGGAGTTGGGGTGGGATGCATGGGGGTTCCAGGCACTGTTTCTGATTTGCTGGATGATTTCAAGCCAGTACCTGCCCCAGTCTGAGATTTAGTTTCTGCTTGGACAGGATATTGTCCAGTCCTGAGATTGCCATGAGCTGGACATGAGTGGATCTGGGGCCAGCTGTGGGCCCCAGGGCCCTGTCCTTGTCAGCAGCTGAGGGGCCCAGAGTGGGGAAGGAGTCAGAAATAAACAGTCTGTGGTGCTGGGCTGAGAATAAACGTCAAGTCCTATGAGAAGTATAAGCAGTTAGTGGCAGAGGTGAAGGTGGAGAAACATAGCTCAAAAAAACAAGGCCCAAGAGTCTAGGTGACTACATTCCATGTCTGCGTGGAAGCAACAGGAAGGCCGACTTAGCACTGTCTACTTGGGGAGGTAGTGAGCTCCACCAAAGCTGGGCCAAACCCCTGTCGTCGTCATCCTGCCAGGATTTCAGACCGGGGCGGGGGAATCGCTCACAAAGACCTGGATCGGGTTATGGACTACCACTTCACTACAGCTGAGGCCAGCACCCAGGACCCCCGGATCAGCCCCCTCTTTGGCCACCTGGACCTTCACAGTGGCGGCCAGTCGGGACCCATGCACGGGTGAGGCCCCACCTGGCCAGAATGGAGGGGCGGGGGGGCCCCAGCAGACTCAAGCCTCTGAAGCCCGTGTTCTGTCCCCTTGCCCACCCCCAGCTTTGGCTTCGGGCTGCCCACATCGCGGGCCTACGCGGAGTACCTCGGTGGTTCCCTTCGGCTGCAGTCCCTACAGGGCATTGGCACGGACGTCTACCTGCGGCTCCGTCACATCGACGGCCGGGAGGAAAGCTTCCGCATCTGACCCCGCAGCCCTTGGCCTGCTTGCCTGCCCAGGCTAGGCCACACACCCTGGCAGGACCTTCCGGGCCCAGCAGGGTGCCACCCTGCTCTACACACTGCTGCATCTCGGGTCTTAGGGCCCCAAGCAGATGGACTTACGTGGAGCCAGGCACCTCCCCTCCTCGATGGGGTCCACTGCTTCCCTGCCTCCAGGCATTAGAGGGGATGAAGTGGGGACCCTTGGGGTCTCCAGCACCAGCTCTGTCATTCTTGTTCCTGGGGAACCCCCACTCTGACCTGCTGTTTGTTATTAAAGTTCACATTTTGAATGCCCTCTTGGGCCCCATTTGTGGGCAGGGCAGGTGAGCCTTTGTTTCTGCCCCCATTCAGGTCCCCTGGGCCCTTGGGTTTAACTAGTTCATGTTCCAGTCTCTGTCCTCACAGCCTGGCAGACCAGGAATGGAATTGGCCCTGAGTCGCTTGCATGTTAGATTTGGCGGGAGTGGGTATGACTTGGGCAGTTTGTGCAAAAACCTTTCATTTATTTCATTTACCAAATGTTTCTGGCTCCCAGACAATATTGAAGGCCCGGGTTGGCCCAGCTTTAGGCCTCAGTTCTGACTCTTCCCTTCCCAGCAGTCACAGGTTGCGGAGGTGTAGGTCACCAGACTAGGCAACTTTCCAAGCCACCTGATTCCTGAACCTGAGTAAGGTTAAAAGTACTGTCTGCCAGCTGTGCTTGCTGTTGCCAAGGAAAGGAACACACCAGATTGTGCTCTGGCAGGCCCCAGAGGACAGTGGGGTCCTGGTAGGGAGGGCAAAAGGAAAGGACTCCAGGGAGCAGGTGGTGAGGTGACCGCCTGCCTATCTTGCCAGGGAAGGAGAAGGCCTGAAGGCCTGCTTGGTGGAACTGGTGATGGAGGTGGGGCACTGAGGGGAGACAGGAATTGTATCTGGTGGTGGGAAACCATAGTGACTTGCCAGGCTGAAAATCCTGCTGGCTGCAGGGCAGAGGGGGTGAGACTGGAGAGGTAGGTGGCAGTCAGGGTGAAAGACCTTGAATTTACAGTGAAGAAGCATGGGTTTTATCCTGAAGGCAGCAGGGACCCATGGAAGGGTTTTAAGCTAGGAAGGGATGTTTCAGGTTGGGTTCCCTAGAAGCACATCTTAAAAGGAGGATTTGTGTCCCAGTGATTTGTTGAGAAAGTGCTCCCAGAAGGGAGTAGGGGAAGTGGGAAAGGGAAGGGCAGGAGGCCAGGCAAGAGAGCTAAGCTCCACAGTCATTGATGGACTCCTCCACTGGACAATCATTCGTTTGATATCCCTATTTGAGTGGGGTTGGGGAGGTAATTAAAACTCGCTGGCTAAGAACTTCTGTTTTCATCTCTTCTGAGGCAAAATAGCTCTATTAGCCTGAGGGGCAGTTTGCCAAACAAGCCTCTGGTGCTGGCTTTTGAAAGCCCATCAAAGCACAAAGAAGCAACAGAAAAAGATTCTAGGGGATCTGGGTGAATCATCTACATAGTTCTAGGGGTGGGTGGAGAGTGGGAAAAGGTACTACAGTTTTAATTTTTTTTTTCTTGCCTGATTTTTATTTTTTCTGTTTCATATGCTGCCAGACAACTGGCATTTACTGCTCCCCCCAAACTCCTTCATTGCCCAAAAGCCAAGTTACCAGCACTTCCCACTGCCATCCCTCACAAATAGACATTTCCTGATCTATAACCTCATCCTTAGGGCTTGAGCATTACACCCCCCCTTAGAATTGTTTCTAAGCCCAATAACCAAATTATAAGTCAAAGATGATTAAGAGAGAGGCCAAAGGGAAGGTTTGAGCACCTACCCTGTCTGGTATTGTGCAATACACTTGTTTTATATACATAAGAGATAAGTATATGGTTCAATCTTTTTATAGTTAAGGCTTGTACAGTTTAATGACACTCTGGGAATGGACATACTTGTACAACTTCCCCAGTGTAGGGGCAGAACCCAGGATTCCTCACTCAATAAGCCCCAGATGCTCTCCATTATGTCCACTGCCTTTGGCTAGTTTCTGTTTCGGGGACCTGGTCCTTTCTTTACAAGGGCTTGATTCTGTGAGTGATTTATTGGCTGTCCCAGGACACACATCCGTCCTGCTTCCCCCACCCGAACTGTCCTTTTCCCACTCTCAACAAGGAAGGCAGTTTCTTCAGTCTTCACAGACGGGAGATCCGTATTTGGCAGGCGGAAGTGGGCGGCACGGGGATGGGTGCTAATCCCAAATTCATCGCCCTAAAGCCAGGCATCCAGGGAGGCTGCTTTGGCTCTGCCCCGGTAAAGTGGGGGCAGCGCCCCCTGATCAGGCACCCGGACCTTTAAAAAGATCGAGCTGAGGCATCACATCAGGAAAGCCTTTTTCCTCTCTTCAACTCCAGTGTGCAGCCATAGTTCCAAACGGAAAACAACTCCAGGGCAACCGGCACAGTCCACGTCAATCTGGCCCAGCGCCGCGGAGACCGTCGCACGAGCCAATGAGCTCCTGCTACGTCACAGAACCCCCTCCCCCCTCCAGCCGGCCGCGGCCTCCGCCACGAGTCGCCGACCCGGAGCTAAAGGCCCTGCGCGGCGCTGTATTCTGGCGTCACTTCCACTACAGCGATGGCGGCACAGGGAGCAGCTGCGGCGATTGCGGCGGCGACTTCAGGGGTCGCGGGGGAGGGCGAGCCCGGGCCCGGCGAGAATGTGGCGGTCGAGGGGACCTCCCCGTCCCCGGGCCGCGTCTCTCCGCCGACCCCGGCGCGTGGCGAGCCAGAAGTCACCGTGGAGATCGGAGAAACGTACCTGTGCCGGCGGCCGGATAGCACCTGGCGTGAGGGCGGGACCCAGGGCCAGGGGGCGGGGTTTAAGGGCGGGGGTGGGGCCTGAGGGAGGAGAACGCGGACTTTCGGACTTGCCTGGGCGCCGCCTACAAACCCCTCCGAGTTGGGCGTTCGCCAAGTTCTTCCTAATGTGTGTAGAGCTCCCAATCCACTTCCTTGCCCAGTCTTAGGCTTCATTCCCTTTTCTTGTTAACCTCCTTCCTCAATGGTCTCCCTTGTCTCTGTGACTCCCCCTTCCATCCATCCCCTGCAGCCGCCAGCGGAGAGGACCTACCAGAACACAAAAGCGAGCTTTCCCTCCCTTCTCTTGCTTTACCTCATTTCCAAGATAAACCCCAAGTTCCTTACAATGGTATTCATTTTTGTAACCTCTCTGTTTTTCAGCACCCCTAGTAAAGGCCATTGCCAGACCATACCACACTGTGTGCTCTGAAGGCCATATGCCTTTTACCGCCTGTGCCCTCTGCTTGGAATGCCCTTTTTTCCCTTTCTCCTTGTTTAGCTGGCTAGCCCCAGTCATCCTTTTAGCATCATATCCCCTGTGATGCCATTCTTGACTCTCGTCAGGCAGATTGAGTCGTTCCCTTCTGTATGTTCCCTTTCTGTATGAAGAAACGCAACATTTTCTTCATACCTGAGCTATAGTATATGTACCATTATGTTGTTATCGTCTGTCTGTCTTCTATCAAAGTGGGAACTTCCGGAGGGCAGGACTGCTCATGATCCATCACTGTATCCAGCAGCAACCCAGCACAGGGCCAGACATGCAGTGGTTGCCTTCCTCGTTTATCGAATGGTCGGCTGTTTGTCAGGTGCTATACTGAAAGCTTTAGAGCCACTAATTCACCGTTTGAGGTGGACACGGTTATCCTTATTTTACAGATGAAGATGCTGAGGCTCAGAAAGCCATAATAACTTGTTCAGTTAAATATAGCTAGGAAGTGGGGCCGTCTGATTCCACAGCTAGCCCTCATGACCCCTGAACAAATGAACGACAGAGTATAGTAAAAGAAACATTGAATTTGGAGCCAGATTTAAATTCAGTTAAGTATTTGCTCTTATCACTTTTCAAATAGGTGACCCTGGGTAAGCCTCAGTTTCCTCGTCTCTAAAATAAGAATAACAGCCCAATCTGGCCCACCTCAGACACTGATTGAAGAGAGAGGCAGATGTGAACAGGTGAGGTTAGCGTACATTTGGCCACAGAATCTGGGAAACTCCTCCTCAGTGTGAAGGATCACTGTTGTTCCAGCCCTGTTTTCTTTCATGATGATCCTAGCCTTTTCCCTTCACAGATTCTGCTGAAGTGATCCAGTCTCGAGTGAACGATCAGGAGGGCCGAGAGGAATTCTATGTACACTATGTGGGCTGTGAGTGACTTGGGGTATCCAGGTCTGGGGAGGGCGGGGGTGGAAGGGCAGCACCCTCATGGCCCATCCTCACAGTTAACCGGCGACTGGACGAATGGGTAGACAAGAACCGGCTGGCGTTGACCAAGACAGTGAAGGATGCCGTGCAGAAGAACTCAGAGAAGTACCTGAGCGAGCTGGCCGAGCAGCCTGAGCGAAAGATCACTCGCAACCAAAAGCGCAAGCATGATGAGATCAACCACGTGCAGAAGGTCCGGGCCCCTCCCCTTCCCCGGGGTGCAGGAGGCTCAGCTGCCTCTGCTGACTCCCTTGGGTCCCGGTGCCAAAAACCATAGCAGCTCCTATTTCTTAAGCTCCTACAGTGTGTAGGGGCCTCTATCTATTTCTTCCCAGGTTATTCTTCACAGATGAGAAAACTGAGGCTCAGAGAGGGTGAGAGCTTGGCTACAGTCTCGTGGCAAGGAGATGACACAGCTGGGACTGGAACTCAGGCCTCTTGCACCTTTTGTGCCCACTCGTGGCTGTGCCACATTGACAGATGGACCTGAAGTCCAAAGGGGAGGAAGAGAATGAGTGATTTGGGGCACTTGCTATTGCCAAGCATTGTGCTGAGTGTTGTGCCTGTATAAGCTCATCAGATCCTCCCTAACAACTCAACACCACAGGGATAATTAGTTCTTACTGAGGAAAACAGGAAGCAGGCTGAGAGAGGTTAAGTAACATGCCCAAGATCACACAGCTAGTAAAAGGGTGGGTTGAGATTAGAGTAATAATGGCAAACATTTATAGCCTTGTGAACCACAGTATTAGGCTAAGTATTTCAGTATATGATCTCACAGAAGTTTCACAGCAACTCTGTGAGGTAAGCATTATATCCCCAGTTTACAAGGGAAGCACAGGTAGTTTTAGGAATCCAGTTAGGAATCAGATTGGCCAACTAGATTGTCCTACTTTGGGGCACAAGCTCTCTGAAACATGCCAGAAATTCCTGCCACTTTATTCCAAAACTTGGGTTCTTTTCACGAAGCTAGCCTGCCCTGGGGGGTTTCTATTCTCCCACTCTGAATCTTAGTTTCTGGATTTGTGAGATGGGGTGTGCACACAAGAGGAGGGTTTATGGAGCTCTCAAGGCACGCAGACGTCCACTGTTTTCAACCAGTGCCAGTCCATCCTTCTGAGTGCTCATCCTGGGCTTAACAGCTATGGTTTGCAAACTGTGGGGCTGTTAGTAGATTGCCAGATTAGTTCAGTGTGTTGTGACCATTTAAATTTCAAAAATGGAAGAACTAGGACAAGGTAGAAGATACCATAGTGCATTGCACTTTATTAAAGGTAAGTATTGTTTTAAGAAGCTTCTATCTCACATACAAATATATATATATGTATATACACAAACTTGCCAGTTTACAGTGCTGTGATAAAAAAAATTTGAAATACCTGAATTAGAAAGATCTCTCACTGGGAATTCCCCGGTGGTCCAATGGTTAGGACTCGGCACTTTCACTGTCATGGCCCGGGTTCAATCCCTGGTCAGGAACTAAGATCCTGCAAGCCATGTGGCGTGGCCAAAAAAAAGATCTCACCATCTAAGGCAGCACGGTCCAACTGAACGTCCTGTGATAAATGGAAATGTTCTACCTCTGTGCTGTCCGAAACAGTAGCCACTACCCACGTGTGGCTCTTGAGCACTTGAAATGTGTTTTGTGTGAGTAGGAACTAAATTTTTTAATTTTATTAAAAGATTTTTTTTTTTGGCCGTGCTGCACGGCATGTGGGATCTTAGTTCCTTGACCAGGGATCGAACCCGTGTCCCCTGCATTGAAAGGTGGATTCTTTACCACTGGACCACCAGGGAAGTCCCAAGAATTAAATTTCATTTGAATGTAATGAACTTAAATTTAGGTAGCCACTTGTGGCTAGTGACTACTTTACCGGACAGCTCAGATCTAAGGTTTTCTTAGCTCCCCAGCCAGGTTGCACTGGCACATTAAGTCGCAAAGATGTACCTCTAAGCTGGCAGTCAGCCGGGTGGTTGACAGTGGGCCAGTGGGGATAAAATCAAAGAACAAGTAACAGCGAGTTAACGATCAGCAAGGTTCTTCAGAGCCTAATTAATGTTTAATTCTAAATAAACTGCAGCATTTATGGAAAGTAGTGTTTTTGTAATTCTTTAATGCATTTACAGAGGAGGATTGTGTTGTATGAGTTGGGAAATGTGTTTTAAAGAGGCATGTGAGGAGGAAAATCATCCTTCCCTCATCTTTGCAGGGGTTAAGTGTGGAGTTGGACAGGCGAGGGGCCCATGCCCAGCTGTGCTGGGTGCCAGTTCTGTGAGCTCACCTCTCTGTGCCTCAGTTTCCTCTTTCGTGCAGTGGAGAGTGAGGATTCCCATCTCAGACTTGTTCTGAGTAATACCTACGACATAAGTGCTTAGTACTTGGAATAAATGGCAGCTGGCTAGTCCGCAAGGGCCAGTGACCTCGCCTCTCCCTGCCTGTTTACTTCTCTGTAAAATAGAAGTAAGAACATTGTATCTCAGCGTTGCCAAAAGGGTTAAATGAGGCCATCCAGGCAAAGTGCTTTGTGGAAGGGGTTCTGGGTAAAAGACTGGCTCCTTCTCCCTTCTGAACTACAGGGCAAGGCTGCCATCTACTCTGGTGTAGGTCATAGGCCTACCTGTGTCCACTGTCAGGCTGGACTTGGTTCCTCCTTCAGCATCTGGCCTAGGAACAAGATGGGCTGTGAGTGCCACCTGACTTGTAGTCCCTGCCTTCCAAAGACTTGGAAAATGGGGGAAACCAAGAAGGGGGAGTTGGAGGGTACTGTTGTTGACCACTGAATTCCTGACTTGGGAACGAATGTATTCTGCATCAGAAGAATGCAGTCAGGCCTCCTGGAGGATTGTTGACCACACCTTCCCAGGGTGTTGGGCCTTGAAGGACAGGGAGAGCACAGCAAAAACAATTACACGTGATCACTCGCCAAGCTCTGCCTCATCATGCACTTGCCTGGCTCATGCTCGATACCAGGCTGAGTAAGCATTTTCTGGCAGCTGTAGGAGAGGGAAGGACATTCAGGGTGGAAGGAACTGCATGTGCAAAAGCATGGAGGCCAGAAACAGGAGTGTTGATAGCAGAGCAGATCTGAGGGGGCTGAGACTGGGGGCTGGGAATTTACAGAGGCCTTGTCAACTATCCAGACCTGAGACAGTGGCAGTGGCTCTTTGGTGTGGGACAGAGGAACCGGTTCCAGAGATGACGAGGAGGTAGAGCTAACAGGACGTGGCCATTATTCGGATGCCAGGCTGAGAGAGGAGGAGGAGTCTTGAGAGCTGGCCTCTTATTGGTCTGGGGTAGTTGGACTGAAGGTGATTCTCCTAGTGAGATGGGGAACCCAGGAGGATGAGCAGGTTTGCAGGGAGGAAAGGTTGAGTTCCTTTCTGGACGCCTAGAGCCTGATGTGCCTGTGGGAGGAGCCTCCGGGAGCAGTCCCATGGGCAGGAAAGAGGTCCAGGCACACCGGGGAGTCCGTACCAGTTCCTGCTGTGGAAGTGGAAGACCAGGCCCATTATGTCATCTGTCTCATTAACAACTGTGGCAGAGCTGGATAGATCGCGTTGTGCAGCTGAAGCTCTTACCAGCCCAAGAACTGGAACCAGGCCTCCTGATCCTAGCCCTGTTTATCAGGCAAAAGGTCCAAACTTGGGCATCAGGAGTGTCTGGGATGTATGGGTGGGTGGGCAGATGGGAGAGGAGCTTGGACCAGTCAGCTCCAAAACCAGGTGAAACAGGTTTGCTAGACAGGAGGGAAGTGCTGGGTTCTGGGATGGGGGGTGGCCTGACCTCCACTTCTGTTCACCTGTGTCCACTGCTCTTTCTCACTCAGACCTATGCAGAGATGGACCCCACAACAGCAGCCTTGGAGAAGGAACACGAGGCGGTAAGTAGGGGACGGGGTCCTAACTGGGGGCACCCCTTCCCTACGGCGTCCCTTGGCCCGCCCGAGCCGCCCGCCGCCCTCCACTCCCCCGTCGCCCACAGATCACCAAGGTGAAGTATGTGGACAAGATCCACATCGGGAGCTTCGAGATCGACGCCTGGTACTTCTCCCCGTTCCCCGAGGACTACGGGAAGCAGCCCAAGCTCTGGCTCTGCGAGTACTGCCTCAAGTACATGAAATACGAAAAGAGCTACCGCTTCCACTTGGTGAGGCCGGGCCGGGCCGGGCCTGCTGAGTGCGGTGGTGGGCGGAGAGGCTGAGGGCCAGCTGAGGCAGCGGCACTAGGCAAGGTCCAGAGCAGCTGAGTCCAAGGAAAAGCGGCCCCGGCTGGAGAGACCTAGATTCCAGGCCTGACTCTGCCTTTGCTGGAGTGACCTTGGCCAACTTGCTGACCCTCCCCAGACCCCAGTTTCCTCTTCTGTGGAATGGGGACCTTCTGGGGTCCCTTGCCCTCAGCACATGTTTGTCAAGGCCAGCCCAGTGCCAGGTTCCCCTGTGGAGAAGAGGAAGCAAGCACAGCCCTGAGCTGTGGGACCGTGAGGTGCGGACAGACAGGAAGCTTTAATCCACACGCAGGACCTGCTGGGGCAGGGCAGTGGCGTGTTTCCCACAGGGTAGACACTGAGGCAAATGTATGTGGTTTGGGAAATGCCCTTGTTATGGGTGCCAGCCCTCTAGAGTCCTCCAGAGCCAGGCTGAGCTGGACTTAAAACCGTCTCGCTGTGTGATGTTTGAGCCAGTTACTTAGCCAGTTACTGTGCCTCGGTTTCTCCATCTGTAACATAATAGCATCCGTCTCCTCAGATGGTTGGGAGTATTACTCGATGTAGGTAAAGGGTGGAGCCCGGGGTCTCCAGGTGGAGAGAAGCAGAGGCCTGCTGCAGGCCACACAGGGCGGGATGGGGCACCTAGCAGGGAGCCTTGGGGCCTCATGCCTGTGCCTCCCCCTGCCCGTCCCCACCCCCAGGGCCAGTGCCAGTGGCGGCAGCCCCCGGGGAAGGAGATCTACCGCAAGAGCAACATCTCTGTGTATGAGGTGGACGGCAAAGACCACAAGGTGAGCCCCGGGGGAGGCACTGTGACAGGTGGGGGGACACGCTGGGCACCTCCTGACGATCTCACCGGCGCCAAAGGGTAGAGGCCGGCCTCGGTGTGCGAAGAGGATTGCGGGCTGGTGCTCAGCCTGGCACTCGGCCTGTGGTTGGTGCGTAGTCAACTCGTGGCCCTGTGGTGCCAGCCTCGAGTTCTGGGTTTCCCTTCTCTCCCTGAGGACTTGCCGTCTGATGGGGTAGCTTGGGGTGGCTTAGGTTTTGGAACCCAGAGTGGAGACTGTCTTGCCTCAGGCTGTTCTTAAACACTGCTTTCTCTTCCTGCCTGAAGAAAAGGTGTTTGTTTTTCCTGGGTGTGAACTGCTTTGTGTGAGGTTTCCTGCTGGGAGAGCTCCGTGGCTCAGACCGCTAAGTTCCTTGTTCCTGAAAGACTTCGTTGCAGCAGGGTGGGGTCTTTGGGGCCTGCTTTGCTGTCGTTTGAGAACTTGACCCTTGCCTGGTCAGTCTGGGAAAGTCTCCTGGGGAAGGCCAGTGGAGTGTAAGACGCAGAGGCCTGGCTTCTGAGTGGCTCCTGGCTTCAAATCGCCCCGTCACTTCCTAGCTGACCTTGGACAAGTTACTTAAGGTCCTTTGTTCCTGTTTCCTCATCTTTAAGACAGGAGTCATGCTAATAGTTAACTAACAGGCTTGTTAGTGGAGTAAATGAGACAGCAAAGTCAGGTACTTAGCACAGTCCCTGGCATCGAATAGGGGCTTAGTAAACATGGGCCTCTGTCAGCCTCATGATAAGTAGCTTGGGAAATCTTAGCCCCACCATTCTTAGCCCCACCAGAGCCCCCTGCTCTGCCCTCCTGAGCATGAATGGGGCTGGGGGCGGCAGGAGGGGCCCCAGCAGGAGACCTGGGTGTTCTTCCCAGTTCTGCCTTCTCCAGCTTTGGGTCCTCAGGCAATCACTCTCCCCCGCTGCCCCCCAGAGCCTCCATTGCCTCCTAAGCAAAACGGGTCTAGCAGCACTGGGCTCACACAATTGTTGAATCCAACGAGAGTGGATGTAAAAGGTGTCCTTGATCTCTGTCATGAAGCCAACCTCCAGGTCCCACTGGCCCTCCTGGCATTGGTCTCTGTCCCGGTGTGGCTGAATGGGCAGACAGCTCAGGCTGCAGTCAGGCTCGAGGGTCGTCCATTCAGCAGACATTTACCAAGCTCCCAGCTTCACGCTTAGCCTTGAGCTAGGTGCTGAGGACACAGCTGTGAACAGTCAGAACTTATGTAGCAGGTTGAATCCTGCCCTAGTGCTCACCAGCTATGGGACCTTGAGCGAGCCACTGTCTCCTCTGAGCTTGTTTCCTGACCTGAAACAGAAGAGTTCGTGTCTGTGAAGATTGAGCTCCTCTTCAGCGCTCAGAAGCGGTAGCCGTGATTGGTCCAGCTCTGCCGTTACCTCCTTGAGTGCTCGTAGCTCTCTGATTTTCAGTTTCCCCATCCATCAGAACGTGACTCTAAGACTCCTTCCAATTCTAAACATGACTGTTCTGGTGAGGATCCCACTTCTCACCATGCTGGCACTGGCTGCTGTCTGGAGCTTGGCACTTGCAGGGCAGGGTGGCAGCTCCTGCCCAGGCCTCCATGGGGCGAGGCGGAGGAGTTACGCCTGCTCCCTGAGCCTGCTTCCACCTCGCGACCCCTCAGATTTACTGTCAGAACCTGTGTCTGCTGGCCAAGCTTTTCCTGGACCACAAGACATTGTACTTCGACGTGGAGCCATTCGTCTTTTACATTTTGACCGAGGTGGACAGGCAGGGAGCCCACATTGTCGGCTATTTCTCGAAGGTGCGGGGTTGGGAAGCCCGGGTTGAGGGAGAGGGGGAGAGTGAACGTGAAGCAGGGGCCGAGCCTCCGCAGAGGTCCTGACCACCCACGCCTACAGGAGAAGGAGTCACCAGATGGGAACAACGTGGCCTGCATCCTGACCCTGCCCCCCTACCAGCGCCGCGGCTATGGAAAGTTCCTCATTGCTTTCAGTGAGTGGTTCCCGGCCTGTCCAGGAAGGGCAGCTGTGGTGAGGGGTGCCAGGGCAGGGTGGGTCCTCAGTTTCCTCATTTCCACTGTTGCCAGGTTATGAGCTGTCCAAGCTGGAGAGCACAGTAGGCTCCCCTGAGAAGCCACTGTCTGACCTGGGCAAGCTCAGCTACCGCAGCTACTGGTCCTGGGTCCTTCTGGAGATCCTGCGAGACTTCCGGGGCACACTGTCCATCAAGGACCTTAGGTAAGGGAGGCACCTGGAACCCTCAAGAGGGAAGAACTCTCCTAAGATTGACTGTGATGCTGTCAAACTGTCTCCTTGTCCCCTTTTGCTGTCCCAGCCAAACCCCACAAGGGAGCTCTCTGCAGCATCTGCTCTAATCCCTTTCTGCAGCCAGATGACGAGCATCACCCAGAATGACATCATCAGCACCCTCCAGTCCCTCAACATGGTCAAGTACTGGAAGGGCCAGCATGTGATCTGCGTCACACCCAAGCTGGTGGAGGAGCACCTCAAAAGTGCCCAGTATAAGAAACCACCCATAACAGGTGGGTGGAGCCTGCCCAGGGGGGTGTGTATATGGGCGGAGGGTGAGCCAAGGCCTCTGTTTTGCTGTCATCGGATCCCCAACCAGTCTGACCAGCTCCCAGGACCGAAGCCTGGGGCAGCCCCCTCCCCAGGACCCAGTCTGCCCCTGTTCTCACCTCGAGGTGAAACCTGGCCTGGGCCCAGGGCGGAAAAGCCAGTGTGAGTGGCCGGCCGGGCCGGAGGCCCAGTCCTGCCTCTCATGCCTCTTCTCCCCACAGTGGACTCTGTCTGCCTCAAGTGGGCACCCCCCAAGCACAAGCAAGTCAAACTCTCCAAGAAGTGAGTGTCCTGTGCCTGTGCCCCTGCTGCTGGACCCGTGCCTCCTTGCACCCCAGCCTGTAAATATGTACAGACCTGTTTCATCATTTTTTTAATAAAGTAAGTTCTGCCAGTGGCTCTGGACTTTGGAGGTGGGAGGGAGAGGCCCAGAGTGGATGGGTGTCATTTCACATCACACACGGCCAGTTGTGCTCAGAACATTTTACTCCATCTCGCTCCGTCTAACCCCGCACACCAGGTGCAAGTCGGGGCCCAGTTCCGGTGGGGGCTCAGTCCTCCGGAGTCCAGGAGTCGGGGCTTGGGGGGGCGTGGCAGCCAGTGAGGCAAGAGTGGGGCCTTTTCTGTCCTTGAAAGCATGCTGCCCAGAGGCAGCCCCAGCCCAGAAAACAGTGAGAGGGTGAAATGATGGGGGCTCATCAGGCAGAGCAGGTGAGGTGCTACAGCCAGCCTTTCAGCAGCAGGCATCTGGGCAGTCTTCTAGAAACAGGTGGGGAGTCGGGGCCCACTTTCATAGCTGAGGGTCCTTGGGGGCTCCATAGGAGCCCAACCGATAGGCTTGTGGACAGCAGATGGAGGTGACCAGAGTTTCTAGTCAGTAGACTCCTAGGCAGTAAACTCTTGTGGTGGCGGTTATAGTCTCAAAGAGCAACCCAGAAGAGTGGGCTCAAAGGTCAGGATGGTGCTTTGAACTCCCACAGGGTCCTGGGAGGAAGGAGTGGCTCAAAGTCAGGCATCCTGGGAGCAGGTGTGTGCCCTTGGGTGTGATGTGGACGTCCCGGAAGCAAGCCAGCTCCCAGGGTGAGTAGCTCAGTGGTCATGCTGTGGGCGGAGGAGGCCCAGGGTCAGGCCTAGTGGCAGTAGAAGGAGGAGGGATCCCACCAAGCCTGGGGCTGGGGCAGAGTTGAAGGCCCCGGAGTTGCTGCAGAGATTGCCATCAGGCTGGGACTCCTGGATTTGGTGCACCACCTGAGGCTGGAGTTCTGCCACTTGGTGGTGAATCCAGGAGGCATAGCTGGAGGTCAGAGTATACACACCGGGCCTGTTGGGGGCCCCACAGGCATCACCCCAGCTTACGATGCCTGCCAGGTACCAGCGGCCCCCCACTGGGCAGGAGAGTGGGCCCCCAGAGTCACCCTGAGGAGAAAATCCACACAGCAGCTGTCAGGACCAGACCCCAGGCCTCCAACCATCCATGCCAGCCCCATTGAGCCCTCATCTCCCAAGACACGCCTGTCTCATCTTTTCCTCTGGACCCCCTGCATTTACCTGGCAGGCGTCCTTGCCCCCTTTCACATAGCCGGCACACACCATGTCCTGCTGGATAAAGTGGAGCTCCTCGGGCTTGGCGTTGATATTGTACAGGCAGTTACAGGTCTCACGACTAATCAGTGGCACCTCAAGTTGCTGCAGTGTCTTGGGGGCCTGGAGGCTCACTGTGGGGGCAAAAGATGCTTACCCAGGGCCTTCTACCCTGCGTCGGCTCCCTCCGTGCCCTTAGACGTCAGCGCCCACCTCACCCTCACCTGAGGGGGCCACGTGGCCCCATCCCGTGACAGTGCACTGGAGACCATTGGGGAAGGAGGCGTTGGCTGCGGGGAGGCAGATGGGCCGGATGTAGCGAGAGAAGGTGACAGAGCTGCTGAGCTGGAGGAGCGCGATGTCACCCATGGAGCCCTCCTGGAGGTAGCTGGGGTGGGAAATGACCTGTGCCACCGTGCGGACCTCGGTGTCAGAGCTGTAGTAGTTCAGCTTGTGGGCCCCCAGCTTTATCTCGTAGCCCTCTGTGTGGTGCTCCCTGCAGGCAGAGGGGCGAAGGCTGGGACCCGAGAGACCGGGATCCCTGTTGCCTTGTGGCATCCAACCTCAGTTCCTGACCTTTCAGGGTCCACCCTGCATCCTAGTTTTATCCTGACCTGTGACCTCTGGCCTTCCCTCCTGACGGATCCTTACAGACTTTATTGATATCCCTAGATACAACCCAAGAACCTCCAACCTCTGACCTACACTGATCCTTGAACTTTGACCTCCAGCCCACTTTTGACTTCCCCGCCCTGCCCCCTACCCAGCTGGTACCTTGGGAAGCAGTGAGCAGCCGACAGCACCCACTGCTCAGACAGGAGAGAGCCACCACACGCGTGGGCGCCGTTGTAGCTGATGCTGACCTGCCAGGGCCACTGGCCGTGGGCTGAATCGCTACCACCTGTGATACGTGCTTGGTGGACCACGCCACAGGAGGCTGCCCAGGGAGGAAAGGAAGGGAGGGGGTCAGGTCCTCAGGGGCCCCCAAACCACATCCTTGACGCTGCCACTCCCGACATAGCCCGGGAGGTCTGGTTTGGAGCTTGGGGAGTGAGTTCACAGAAACCAGCCACCCTGTGTCCCCATCCCATGGCTCACCAGTCACGGTCACTTCTGCCCGCCCCCGCTACCCTCGACCCAGTGCCTAATTAAGGTCTCATCCAGCTTCTGTCCTCACCGGCCTTCCTGCCTTCCATCTGCTCCACTCCTTACCAATCTGGCCAGGCCATACCCCCGCTTAAATCCTTCCCTGGCCCGCGCTGCCTTTACGAGAGACTCCAGACCTTCCATGGCACAGCCATCCCTCTGGACACCCTGTCACAGCGGGCCACACACTTGTTCACCTCCAGACCTTGGCTTATTCAGGTCACTCTGCCTAGAATACCTTTCCTCATCCCTACTTCGCTCAGCAAACTGCTATTTGCCTATGGAGATGGTTCAAATTCTCAGTCCCTCTGTAGCTTGCCCTGACCCTGCTGGCTGAGTGAGGTGACACTTCGGAGCTCCTGAGGTCCATGCTTCCCAGACATGGCTGTTCCACATTATGACGGTGTCTGCTTCAACCAGCCAACCTGGGAGTTCCCTCGGGGCAGGGACGAGGGCAGATCCCTATGTCCCCAGCACCCAGCACAGGGCTGGGCACATGGATGGAGTCGTGGATGTGCTGGATGTGCGTTGAACAAACGACCGGAACAGCCGGGCTCCCAGGGTGTGACTGTCTAGTTTCCAGGACAGCCCCACCCCTGCAGAGGCCGCTGTTTGGAGCAGGACCCAAGTGCCCTTCACAAAGTCACCTGCTCAGAAGCAGGGAAAACCACCCAGTGAGGCTCCTCCCCATCTTGTAAAAAGGACAATAGAGACCAGCAGTTCAAGCAATGCCAGGCCCCAAAGGGGCTTTCACTTCCTTAATCTTCCAGACTCTTCATTGCAGCCCCAGGAGACAGACAGAATCAACTTCATTTTTTAAAAACATTTTTTGTTTTTGGCCGCACTGTATGGCATGCGGGACCTTAGTTCCGTGACCAGGGATCGAACCCATGCTCCCTGCATTGGAAGCACAGAGTCTGAACCACTGGACCACCAGGGCATGCCCAGAATCAACTTCATTTTATTTTATTTTTGCCGCACCGCACGGCCTGTGGGATCCTAGTTCCCCAACCCGGGGGCCCTCGGCAGTGAAAGTGCGGAGTCCCAACCAGTGGACCCCCAGGGAACTCCCTCAACTTCATTTTAGAGGTGAGGGAGCTGGCATTCGAGACACAGCCAGAACATGGTGAAGCCGGGATTGCCAAGGAGACGGATCCTTGGTTTGTTTCCCTCAAAACAACCCACGTTTGGAGTCAGACCTGGGTTTAAATCCCAGCTCTGCCACTTACTGGCTGTGTGCCGTTGGGCAAGTCATTTCTCTGCCCCTCCGTTTCTTAATCCAAAGAACGAGGGCTGTAATCCTCGCCTCCCAGAGCTATTGGGGGACCTAAATAAGACAACAGGAGTGAACGAGACGGCCTTGCAGAAAGGGTCAGGCACTCAAACGCCCCAGGGAAATCTGAACCCGTGGCCCCTCCTCCTCCCCCC